TCACTGACACAACCACTGCTGGAGTCTGAGGCCTGGCTGTGGATGCCATTCTCCTGGGAAGACCCCTGGGAGCTGGGGCTGCTGTCGGGCTCCTCCCAGCCACCGCCGGGTTGCCCTGGCTGGTGTCGCGTGGCTGGAAGAGGCAGGAGGCAGGTCAGACCCAGCTTGTCTGTCTCACACCCTGCCTGCCGCTCACCGCCTCTCTGAACGGCCTGGGAGGAGCCGTGTCCTGAGCTGGGACAGGGCAGCCATCTTGGCCCGGACCCCAAAATACATAAACAAGCGAAAAGAGATCAAGGCAGATTGCAAGCATCGAGCCTGGGCTTCTGGGATGGGGGTCACGGGTATGGCTGCTGGCACAGGCCCGCCCTGGCCTGGCATGGGGTACAGGAAGAAGGGGCTGCCCCTGCACAGCGGCATCCACACAGTGCGCATCCACCTGGTCACGTGTCCACACTTCCCCCCTGGGCCCCACTATGTCTTGCTTCTTCTGCTGCAGCACAGCCTGCTACCCCAAGGCGCGAGCTCCTGGAGGCGGGCCCTGCCCGGACACAGTGCCCCAGCAGCCTGGACCCAGGGATGGACCCTGAATGGAGGCTGGGTCCCCAGGACAGTGCCCTCGGGCTGAGATGTCCAAGCTCCTGCTCAGAGTGGGTGGCTGCGGGCTTGGCTGGTGCTGGCCCCACCATCGAGTACAGAGGCGCTGGGCAGAGATGGTGCCCCTGAGGCTTCTGCTCGGTTGTGGAGTCACCCCACGCGATGTTTTGGGGAGGAAACTAAAACACCCCTGCTGCAGGTCCCCGAGAAGGACCGTACCCCCGCGTCGGGAGCACTGATGCTGCTCTGAGGCTAGGAGGCCTCTCCGGTCCCCGGAGTGTCCCCCACACTGTGCTGCAGGCCCCAGACTTGCTCCACAGGCTGTCAGAGCTGACAGCCACACCCCAAGGAGGTGCTGGCTGTGGTACCTCGGGCACCCGGGCTGACCCCTGCGGATGGCCTCCTAGGAGGTGGGTGGCCAGGGCAGGCTGGTGGCGTCACAGCGGGCTGGTAGGTGTCACCCCCTGATGCAGGCCTCTGGCTGCTGGGCCACTCGTGTCCAGGACGCATGGCGTTTGCCACCACTTCCGCAGCCTTCTGGATGGTGGAGAGGAGGGCCTCCCCGGCTGAGCCTGTGCCGAGGGGGAGAGGAGATGGTGCCAGCCCCGCCCTCCTTACCTGTCCCCACTCCGCCCTCCTCATGGCCCAGCAGAAGACCAGACCCAGGTGGACAGAGCGGCCACCCCTCCCGAGGTCAGTGCCCCACTTCACGCCATGCCCGGCGCCAGCTCCCATCCCTGTCACTGAGGGGTGCCCACAGCACTCACTTGCACGGCCCGTCTCCTGGCTGTAGCCAAAGCCCTGCAGGGCACTGTGGGGCTGGGGCTGGGAGCCCATGCCTGGTGGGAGGAAGACCTGGGTCAGTGCCGTGGCTGCCCCCAGCACATACCCAGGGCCTCAGAGCCCCGCACAGCACTCAAAGGGAGAAGGCATAAACCCACCCAAGGGGCATGTCCCATACCGGCAGAAGGCAGCGGGCGGAGGGTCCGGGCGGCAGGCAGTGGCGACATAGCATCTGAGAACAGGGCGCTCCCCAAGTCCTAATGGGAACACGGGGTGCTCAGGCTGCTGGCCCCACCCCC